TAGCAAAAACCTTTAAATGGTTTTAGGCTTACACATATCCATGCAATGCATTAGCGCTCGCATAGCCTCAGTGTATATGAGTTTGTGTCGAGCATTCATTTTTTCTATGATTACCGCAAATTTATGTTTTTTGTAAAAATGTATGTGAAAAATGTGTTTTTTCATGAGACCTATAGTTTTCAGCACATTGTATTGACGTAAACAATACGTATCATTGCAGTGGAGGGGCTGTGCATAACTAATGGCATTAACTCTAACACGCATTCCCCAAACCTGACCATACCTTTAAAAAATATAGTCTATTAGGGCTCAGAGAGAGCCGTATATTGATTACCCCTGTCTCCTGATCTTAATTGACTGCGTCACTATCGGATGAGCTATTGTTGCTGATGAAACAATTGCCTATATATAGAGAGAAGTGCTGCAAGTCGACTCACAGTCATACCGAATATCTTAAAGGTTGACATCTTTGACGACACCATCACTGCAAAAGTGGACACCATTTGTTTGAATCCAACACCAGATACGTGCCGTCAAATGGGTATCAAAGGTCTGTATCCGTTGTTATCATATTTCATAGCATTTAATCACTAATTGTGTTACAAATGGCGTCAAACGAGCATGAAAATCATAGCATGCAAGATAAATGAGTGCATAGTTGTCATAACACTTGTCATTGTATTCATTATCTCGTTGTACGCGTGGATTAGTTGAGTGACTATTTTGATGAACACTCGCGAGTCGTCCGCTGTCTTCACGTTAATCTTCGGTTTATAGGCCTTTGACTCCGATTTTTGCCGCAATTTGTCGATCATTTGCGTCATTTCCGGTGTTTTTATCACATCCGCCGGTGTCTTATCGTCGAGTGTTCGGCGAACTCTCAACAGATCCAGTCCTCCAGACTCGAGGATCAGTTGCACGCAATCGATGTTATTGTTTTCAATGCAACAGAGATAATTAGTTTTAATGAGCTGTTCACACAGTTTTGTTGAACACAAAGGTCACGAATGGCCGCACATTACCGGCCCCTATACGCAGACACTCGGCGCACAACTCGTACAGTCGGAGCACTTCCATCAGAAGCTCTTGAGCTCTGATTTTAATCACTTTAATCGTCAGATAAATGAGTTGTTTGAAGACACTGTTGATATAGTCCGCAGACTTCTGGCCCCAAACAATGCGCGCGATCACCGGCTTTGGAAACTCCCGCTCCTGAAGGCTGTCCTTTCGGTGTATGTCATGACACAAGTCCTTGGAATCGGAGACAAAGAGTCGGAAGTCTTTGACCAAAGCGTCGACAATAAGCTTGAAGTGAGTGAATGCGAGCGCAGTCTTCGGACTTCTTGATGGACTCATTGACGAGAAATGCCATCAATTTAGACACAAAAGGCCAGGCATTGGACTCATGGTATCCGCCGGCGATAACCGCCACGACCTCTGGCCTCGTATAACACTTAAGCAGTATTTGGCGCATAAACTCAGCCACGAATAGGCTGTGAATGTACTGAAAGTGACGGAACTGTTTATCCGCCATAACTTTGCGCTCTTGAGACCAGTCATCAATAAATGCCATTCATTTGAATGCCATTCGTATATAATTAAACGATTAACTGTTAAAATAAACAATTTATCATTAACATTGTATATGAGTTAATATATGACTGTATTATTTGTCTCATTAGTTATGTCTTCAGCAAGCAGAATCGCCGATAAACAGAAAGACAGAAAGAATGGGAAGACCTTTCTACAAATTAAGGTACAAAAGCATAATTATTATACAATTACAATATTATTTATATTTTATTTTATATTAATTTTATGAATTTTTGTAATTTGTTAATAAGCATTTTTATAGATTAATTACTGTTTACTATATACTCAACAGTAACTACTGTACAGTGTTAATATTGTATGAATGGTGACTATTACTATCAGAATATATTGACCAATGCCACATGTGGTAGAAATGTAGTAGTAAAACGCCCAGGCTTAGTATAAAGTGTAAAGGTGGCAATCGTTTTGTGCATTTCTCCCCCTATATCCTCCCGGTTTTCCTACACGATGTGGTATACGAGTATATGAAGTGATTACTATAGGTCTGTCAATGTTACCTCACTCATTGCATTCAAGTGCATTGAAAGTAGGATTTTCAAAATGGCCTAGTAATAGTCATCAGACAAGTTTTATTAATTTTGAGCAACATTTACCAGTTAGATCACATATATTTAGCTTTCATTTCGACGCATACAAGAGAGGCATTCAAGTAAACCCAACTTTTTAATTCTGCTTATCAATGACTATCATTAATGTTAAACAGTATTATTTAGTCATAAGAAAAGTTGAAATGAGAGTTTTCAATTAAAGTGTTAAACATAACTTTACATTGCAATTGAATGCTCGCTTACCCTTATATCCACGTACACTGTAGCATACAGTGTGTCCAGACAATTAAGGCGACACAATTAATATAATATAATACAAAATAATATTATTAATTTATAATTGTAATATGAAAACAAACTATAATATTTGTACATTTACAGTATTATAATGTATTTTACCATTGATTCTCACTAACTGTGTCTTAGTTATATTAATAAAACTCACTCCATTATACAGCTTTAGCTTGGTAAGTAATTGTTATCCAGGTCCGGTTTCCTAACGAAAAGTGGTTTGTCTAATATTCGGTGGTAAAGTTTGCCGATATTGATAGCTTTGGCGCTCAAAACTTTATATATTAGCTGTATTTATTCATTCATAGTTTTTAAATGAGTCGATTAGTATGTGTAGCTGATGGAGTGAGTTTTATTAATATAACTAAGACACAGTTAGTGAGAATCAATGGTTAGTGTACTGAACTCCAAATGGTAAACATATTATCAATTATCGAGAAAACTAATTCAATATAATTAATGATGTGTTAATTATATATTATATGAGTTTCATAGAATCAGTGATGTTAGGACTTACCAGGGTAGAATAATATCTATAAATATTTAAACATTGAATGAATAATTGACTTTGGAGTCAAATTATTAATTATGAACTAAAGTTACACTGATCCTATTAAGTTCATATATACATATATATATGATACATATATAATACACATTTTTATACATATATTAAGTTCATATATACTAATAATGTGTTATATTAAAAACAATAATCAAATAGAGAATATCTCATAGAGTATCGGAAAGTGAATTATAAATATTTTCAGCTAATTTCAATGGTGACCATATATATAAGTGGACTTACCATAATATGGCGTACGTACGCATTCAATCTAAACTTGTTTGAAATGCCAAAAAACTTGCAGTTTTATACAAAATCACGTCATATATGAGGAATGCATATGTGATCTGAATCCAGAAATGTTTTAAAATAAACTTAAGATATTATTAGATTATATCTGTGCGACAGTTAGAGTATATAGAACAGGTCATACACTTTGCTTTCATATGACTGTAGTGTTAAACAGGGTTACACTTATATGAATGCAGAGTACATATCATTATATCGTATAATATCATATCATATGTTAGACATAAGTTACATGAATATTTACATTTGCACTTTAATTATTTTAAATCAATATTTTCACTACATTTTCATTAATTTTGTTATACTTCACAACTAATACTGTTGTAAAATATGCTTTCTAGTAAATACTAACATTCATGAGCTTGCATATTTGAAATATAGTAAAATTAGTTTATGCAGTTATTTTTAACATCTAATATTTCATTATATTTAGGAACCATGGATTCTATGGGGCATCATGTTGATATGGGGCATCATGTTCATTATATTGTCCAAGGGGGTGACAGCTGGTGTACTCCCTTCAACCAGGAACTCATCCACTTTGCTCACTCCCATTCCGGGTACTGCTAACGTCGTAAGTATATTATTCTTGACATAATTAACTAACTTTTAAAATAAATAGATATTAAGTAATAAACTTATTTAAGCGTTAATTCAAAAATAGTAATCCATTCGTAATTGTATTGTTAAATAATAATTGATACCTAAAATATGGTGAATACTACTACAGACTGCATTCGACCTTGATCCCGAGACCGATGGGATGGGCATATTAGGCCCAATCATCAAGGAATATGATCTTGCACATCCGCCCGTCACCAACGGCACCAACGACACCATCACTGCCTATTCGTCAACTGAAGGTTCCTCAGCGCACTCAATCATTAGAGATTATCCCTACGCCATAGGACTCCTGGTTGTGATTGCATTCATTATAGGTGTAGTTGTAGTTGTGGTGTTGGTGCGCAAGTATTGCATGGGGCATAAACAGGGTTACACCTTGTTCAAAATACGGAGCTTTAAAAGATTCGGCAGATATAGTGGTGGGATTGAAATGACTGGCGCCTCCATCACTAACAACAACAACAACAACAACTCGGTTGAGACTAAATTGTAGGGCACCGGCAGATATCTACGGCGCGTACTGACACTCCTTTAGCACTACATATACTCGACACTAATTCTCAACACTTTTTTACAATTCACAACTTTTGAAAACTTTTTAATGTTATAAATGACTGAAAATTTTAAATTGTATTAGTTTTCTACGTGGATTAGATTTTTAATTTCCTTGATTATGTATATATTTAAAACATATTTAAAATATCTTTTCAAATGTAAAATGAGTGAAATGGTATTGTGTCCACAAATAAAATAAGTATTATTTGAATTAAGATTTTACTATTTAAATGCAAATTATATGACAAATAGTGTTTTCAAGTGCTTATTGACCACTACTTGACTGAACAGTATGTGTTAAATGCCATATTTGGGTCATATTTGTGGTCCGCAATGAGATCAGCGACCGGTTTGTGTTGGAACTGGAGTTCGAGGTGACGGCCGCTGAGAGTAGGGGACTGGAGGTATCGGGAGGTCGAGAGTTGGAGCGTATTTGCCGTCAGTTCGGAGTTCACGTACTCATGAAACCCGGTCTCAATGATAATCGCAGGGTTGTCGTCATTAGGGGCACCGATAGGGCTGTCAGTCAGTTGTTTGATGCGCGCCAAGAGATTGTGAATCTCATGAATAACCCGTAAATTGATTTTTGTATTCAATGTTTGCGTTCATTATTATTATTATTTTTGGTCTCATTTTTGTTTTTTCATTTCAATTCTTATAAAATGTTTATTATATTTAGTTTGTTATCACTTATAGACAATAATTAAGTTCATTATAAGTGAACTCAAATGTTCTCTATTTAATTATTCTGGTATATTTTATACTCTATTCATTATATAAATTCAATTATCATTTGGTTGTATTTTTTCATAAAATTAATTTAAATAAAAGTTTTGAAAAATTAATATTTCTATTGATTTTAATTATTCAAGAGTATAACGAATGAAGTTAATTAGAAATGCATTTATGGTAAAAAGGGTTTAATTAAATAATCAATTTTATAACTTAATTGTCAATTAATAGTTGGAATATTTTTATGAACTCGTAATAAGACCCTAAGCACAATGGAATTTATTTGTCAATTAGTAATCACAGAATCATAGGTTTACACAATTATTAATAACTTTTGTATCCATTGATTGGTTGGCAGATTGAGACAAAAGCATATTTTACTCATTAATACAGTATTACATTGTATATGACTAATAATAATTTAATTATAGTCATTAATATAATTACGGTAATAATAATTAATTAGTAATTATAGTCCAATTTTATTGCTTCAAACTATTCAATGATACAAAAGAGTCATGGAAAGGTATGTAAGGAATGGTAGCCTATATAAGAAGTGCACAAAAAGCAATTTATGTCATTTGAAAAGCAATTTCCCTAATAAATGGTAATAAGTGTTACACAATGTCCACGAATTGACCTCAACCCTAATGATGTGGGAAGTGATAGCACTTCCGACGATAATTACTTGCAAGTGTTGACTAATCACTATAGAAATCATCAGATGTTAAGTGACTACATGTGGAACGGTATGTAAAATAAGTTTTTTAAAAAATAATTTTTAATCTAAAAAATCTTAAATATCTCTAAACCATAGCCAACAGAGAGACTGTGAATCTGTTGGTCGACATGAGAGTCGGGGATCAGCTATACCTCGAGAGCATACGTCTCGCAGACATGAATGAACTACAGGTGCGATACGGCACCAAAATCGCTATGCCGTCCGATCGTAAGTTTCCTAAACCCGACTACCGGCCCGTAACCATCACGGGCTCACCCGACGGGGTGCTAAAAACCTATGAGGGAGTCCGTCAACTGCTACCCGTCCACGTCTGGTACGAACTGCACCTCAACGTCGGCCTAACCTCCCATATACTGGACGTGTCGTCGCAGCCCATGAGAGACATCCAAAGGAAGTACGCGTTGGATGTATTCGTGGGTCACTCTAAGCCGGGTATTCCGTGCAGTGTTCACATGAGGGGCCCCATAGGACAGGTGGACCAACTGAGGGCAGGTATAGCTGTCATCCAGGAGTACATCAAAAGCCACGGAATCGGTCGACTCGACCTAACCATTCACTCGGAAGCGGACGCCCAGTCGAGTTGGTCGCAGATTGTGGGCCACAAACAGCAACACCCGGTGCCCATCGACCGCATCGCCGCCAAAACCTCCACAGAGATCATACCTCCCAGTGGCCGGACGGCTCGCTGTCGATAGTGGGCTCAGACTTGAAGGCAGTGATTGCCGCCAAACGTGAGATCAGTGGCCGATATGTCGTGGAACTGGACTTCGAAGTGACCGAAGGGGACAGTCGTGTGGTTGACCGCTACGGGAGAGAGTTGGAGGGATTGGGAGACGAGTTTGGGGTCCATATCCTTATGAAACCTGAGGTGAACCGTAAGGTAGTCATCATTAGGAGCACCGATCGGTCGGTTAGTAATGTGTTTAATGTCCGCAAACGGATCGTGAATTTGGTGAAGAACTCGACGGCACAGACATCCAGTCAGACCTGTCAGCCCATCAATAGTGAGAACTATCAGTAAATTTATAATTATTTCTGATTATTCATATAAATGTTAATTTAATTGCTATTTAAATCTATTAATGAATTGAAAACAGAATTATAAAAATGTGTAAAATTTATTCAATTAATTATATCGACAAACATATGGTTTAACAGAATTTACAAAAACTATAAAATTGATTAATAATTAAAACTAAATTAAAGAAAAATTTGTTAAAATGATAACATCAGAGTTACGAGAATATAATTAAATAAAATGTCTATTATTTATATAAATAGTACGAAGTTTGTGACAATTGGTGATCAAATTATTGATGGCCTCATGAGTGAACATCTGGTCGCAGAAATCGCACGAAATAGTTGTCACGTTTGGGAGTTTGGACAATGAGTGCTACATATCACCCGTGATATGCGTGCCCCAGAACTATGCATTAAATGTGTGGTAAATGTTTGTCGATATCGATCGCAAAGTTTTCGCCGAATACCGGTGTGTCAGACCATTAAATGAGTGAAATGTGTGACACTTTGGCGCCCTTTTAGTGATTCACTCCTTAATACAAACTCCGGATGAATATTTGCCGTCAGTTTTGGACGTTTCAATTGTGACATCCGTGACAAACCAGTCATCAGTATAGCCATCTCCTCATTACAATTCACTTTAATAGTAGTAGAAGGCAGTGCTTTATGGGGCGCCCGCCCCCCCCCCCATCGCCAGGAGAGCGTGGCATTGCCATTGAGGGCGTGGCTTAATTTCGTTTACAGTACGTGTTGGGTACTGTACCAGACAATGACCAAGCTTCCCCGGCCAATGTCCAGTGTACCTATTAATAGTGGACGTCACTTCCAACATCTAGGGGGCGCTCCCTAGGTATAATCAAATATCACGGGGGCGCTAACCCCGGTCCCTGGGTAACGTTACCGAGGTTATGCAGGGCACGACTCCTGCTTCAAAAATATAATTTATCCAAAGAGTGCTCAATGGATATATCCAAAGGGTATGTTAAACCATTGCATACATATCTCTTGTCACTTGTAATCTTACATTATTGGATCATTTAATTTACGATAATATAATACGGAATCAGTATCATGATACATAACACTATGAGGTCTTATGCATTCAATCCTATACATTAATTGTTATAACTTTATTCTTGCATAAGCTGTTACAAACGAGGCAACAGGCAAATTATATTTCCGAGCCTTAACCATATTATCATTTAAAAACTCCCAACTTACAATAATTCACATTCTCTCTATCTTGACATTCACATTTATTACTTTTTACTTTTGCACAATTTAGACATAATGGAAATAAGTTTTTTATTTACCAAAACTGGTAAGACAGGAATATATAAATCTTTAGGAGAAATTACCCTGCACTTTACAATACCAAAATAACTATTTAAAGTATAATCAAAATTTTCATGTATAATCTCAGGGTGGTCCGTAGGATACGGGTTATTCTTAAGAACATATGGATATGAGCTACAAAAGTCCAAATATTTAATCTCTTCGTCATCCGAAGTTTTCTTATGAAATAATATATAATTTGTTTTGGCCCCCAAAAAGGCATCTTTTATATTAATAGAACCAATTTCCTTCAATTTTTTTATGATATTTAAATCGATTAAAAAATTCATTAATTTCTGGATGTTTTTCTCTTAATAATTTAAAATCACATTTCCAAATTTTTTTAACATTATAATTTTTAGATAAATATTCAGATTTTTAAACTGTTTGGTTATATCTTTCATTGTAACTATTTGATTCATTTTTTCGCGTAGGTATTAAAACATCCCTATTAACATCATTACAACAAACACACCTGTGCCATGACATCCAAGAAATTCATATACAGTATTAGTTTCCGTATGGAACCCTATAATTACTTTTAAGTTAAATAAATTATTAATCATGTAACAATTGTAAATTTTTAATAATTATAACATTTTTAATTAGGTCTTACCATGGCATTTGCCATAATACTAGCTAGCTCATCATTGTCCAGCGCCTACACCACTGAGACCTATGGCACCGGGACCTATAACAGTGGACAAACCAGACGTTGGGTTGGAACGGGTACTCCAAACGGTTATTATGGGGTAACTGGCCAACCGGGAACTGGACGTTATTACTATGGCGGCACCACATAAAGACCGGGTGAGTACACAGGCTCCCATGGGTATTCTAACTACTGTATGGCACAGTTAGCCCTGGTTATGTGGGTCATACTGGCACCTACCTTGTGAACGGCACTGGTAGGTCCTACACAGATGTATATATGAGCTGGGGACAATCATAGTAACGTTAGCTTTTTTATATTTATTATATCTAATTATTAATTTTATC